AGCTCGATAGTTACCCACACTGGTCCTTCTTGTTTAATTTCTCGTTCTTCTTGTTTCTTTTCTTTTTTCTCTTCCAACTGTTGTAATTTCTCTTCTCGTTCTTCTTGTTTCTTTTCCTGTTCGTGTATTGCTGCCATCAAGTCTGCTCGGCTGTAGTTTGATTTGCCGCTTCTCGTTTCCATTTTTTTTTCTATCCCACTTCTGACACCAATTTGTTACGTCTCCGTTTGTTAATTAACTTTCCGTAACTTCGTTCCGACGAAACTTTAGCGACACAAGTCCTTACTTAATAAAACTGGTTTATTCTTTCCGAATATAACTTAACGATACACTTAATTTCGACAATTGCGCTAAAACAAACGCTATAACAACGAACGTGCTCAATAATACTCTCTGACTGCAGATCAATTACTCACTGTCTACTCACACATTATTGTCACGTCACGTTGTCACCCTCTTTTATATACCAGACTACCCTATATCTAGTAAATGCTAGAACATTCGCCAAGGTACAGGATAGTTCTAGAAACGTGGCGTGACACTAGTCATGTGACTTCGCTGACGCAACAGAAAAGCACAGAATTTATATCTCGCACAGAGAGCCACCAACGATCGGTACGGCCCTGAGTTAAAGCTTAGTAAGAAAAAATTCTACTGCAGAGAAAAAGACAAACTCAAGTGTATTATAGAAATAAAAATCTAATTTATTGACAATTGTGATGCTATCCTCTGTATGAAATGTGCAATAATTATTTTGTGTATTTAACGTGTTTTGCATAAAACCTGACGCCCACCTAATATACTTATAACTATTATTGTTGACCATATTATTGCAGGCACTCGTCAATTACAGGGCCGAGAGCGGCCCAATGGTTAGCGTGCCAGACTGTGAAGCTGAAAATCTGTGGTTCGCCTCCTATTTACGTTGTGAGTGCATTATGAAAATGGTAGTTTAATTCCACTATCCAATCAAGTGGTGTTGACTACTTGCTTTACCTCTAGTCTATCACTTCAAAATTAGAGACAGGTAGCACATTAGTTTTGCGCGATATCCAATAAAAACAAACAATCAGATGAACAATTAACCCACACGTCTAGCATATTTCCTGGAATTTCCGAGAACCACCTCAAAAGAAACACATATGTGGTATTTTTAGATGAACTTGCATGTTCATAAACAACAAAGCAAATCGTCATTATTTGAGTTTTAATGTTCAGAATAAGTTACATTCCCAGTTTGCCCCTGATGAAAAATGTCCACCTTTTGAAAGTGCTCAGGTTATAGGGTTTCATATTTTTGTCCAAAATAAACTAATACAGATGCTCTCAAAAGAAGCGATATTCTATAATGGTGACATGTACACATGTAAGTCATCAGAAGCAGCTGTAAGTAGTATTAAGAAATAGTAAATATCCGAAAAATGAAGAACAATTTTGAAGAAAAGTTTTGTTTGTTGTTAAGCACAAAGATACACAATTGGCTATCTATTCTCTGCCTGCCAGGGGTATTAAAATTCGAATTTTAGCGTTAAAATCTAAATCATCATGTATTAGATGTATTAAATAGTAATTTAAGAACAACAATGGACCTATTGGTCCATCTAAGCTATTCCATCCACTAAACCAAACTTTAAAACAAAATATAACACACAAAACCAGCCATTTAACTATTTATCAGGCCTTTCCTTAAACTCCCTGAAATTAACTGCATCCACCACATCTGAAGACAACCTAACCTAAGGGTTAATCACCATGTTAGAAAAATACAGCTGTCTCATCTAAAGAAATTCGAAAAAAATATGATGCATCAACACTATCAATTCCCTTAACATTCTTAAACACATCAGACAGATCACCACTAATTCCTTTTTTTTTTTCAAGAGAAAACAATTGCAGAGATCTTAAATCTCTCCTCTTATGACAGCCTTTTCATCGCAGATATCATCCTCGTGGCTCTCTTCTGAACCTTTTTCAACAATTCAATGTTCTTCTTAAGGTAAGGAACCCAAGACTGAACACAATACTTCAAATGTGGCCAATCCAATGACCTAAATAATGAAATCATAACCTCTTTAGACTTTTATTCAGTACAAGCTGAATGCCTGTCATACAACGGGAAATTATGTTTAATTTTTCTTTTAAAATTGCATCTAAATAAATGTTTTATTAACATGTTTTCTAAAAAGTAATTATAATCTAATAACAATATATCTTTGGAGAATGGCTATCCTATTTTCAGTATTTCGCGAAAACAACATTTTTATGATATTTGGTCATCCCTTTTGAGTATTGCTTGATTAGTATTTTGACTTCTGTATATTTTTAAGTTATGTTCAAATGTTCTTCTTTATAAATCCTTACAGATTGAAGTAAGAAACTGATTAAGTAAGCTAAGAAACTGATTCTCAAAAACATATTCCTACTTGGTCACCTGCATGACCCTGCAAATAATTAATTGTGATGGTAAAGGCAGTGTATTTTATCATGAATTTTTGGGGTCTTCTCTTTGGACTGTCTTCCTGGTTTTGACTTTGTTAGCTTGCTGAGCTGAAAAAGCGTGCTTTAATTTGAGCATTTTCCAAATTGAGATGTGCTGCAGATAAAACATGCGAGTTATTATAGAGTTGTTGCCGAGGGTTCCGATTCGACAAAATTTGGTGATGTTGCGTTAATTTGTCTCTTTGACAACTAAGCAAAGGTAATGGTGAATTTCAGCCGATAATTATGATTTTTGTGCGCTACCAATACCAAGCGTGATGCACGCGTATAGCCGATTCGATTTTATTACTCATCATGATCTCTACCAACCTTCCATCAAATCTAATTATAAGCCCAAGGTAGCGTATCATCTGTTTTACATGTATATGTCTGGAAGAACTTTAAGAAGATAAACTTGCTTGTCGCTGCAGAAAGCACCGTCGTTTCGTACAAGTTGCGTGTTGATTGGTACGGCAACGCCCGAGATATCGGCCTGAATGACGGATGGCGTTTCGTCTTTATATAGTAGATTTATTTAGATCAGTGATTCTGAACGTTGGGCGCACGCCTCACAGGGAGCAATTTGAAAATGCTACAATAAGAAAAAATTTTTCATTTGGGTGTGAAGAGCGAAAAACGTTCCGTGACTCAAAACTGAGTGGTCTAAATTTAAAGCGGTATTATTAATTAAACTCCTATTTTTTTGGTACATTTCTA